CTGCAGTCACGGAGTTAGTGTATGGTCGTTTGACCGCAGTGGGTCTATCAATACTACATTTGTGTTACTTCAACGCATCAAAGGCCATGGATGTAAGTGTTTAATCTATTGACAAACTTACTTTTCTTTCTGTTATTTTCTTACGTGTGTATGATTTAGTGTTAACAAATTATATTTAAATATTGTGTGTGTATATGATTAAGCCGTGGTAGCTCAGATGGTTAGCGCAAGCTGTAAATTTCACAGTACGCGACCCGGGTTCGATCCCCGCCGGCACCAATTAAATTGTTAATTGCAATTTTAAGTGTTTATTCTATTGACAAACTTACTTTTCTTTCTGTTATTTTTTTACGTGCGTAAAAGACAAAAAACTGTTCGTTATTGTGAAACACACGTGCACGGCATTCCATATTTCGTTGTGACCGAAGAATTAAAATGTGCCTACAAACAAGAGAACATCATACCCATATTAAATTGGTATATTAGAAATTTGCGCAAAGACGAAGTGATCGCATACAAAGGTGGTTCAACAGAAAAAATATTTTTAAAAATGTTGACGACGAATGATAGAATTTTTAATATTGAAGAATACAAATGTCCAAAATACAATGATTTGGTAAATGTCATAAATTTAAACAAACGTTATGTGTGTAATAATCATATATTTGCAAAAAATATATGACTATTTACACGTGACTAAAAATATGTTTGTTCCAACAAACTTCACATAACAATGCTTCATTACTTCCCATCATCCCATTTCTTTCTTCTGCTCTTGTCTTCCTGTAATTTAAGTAAACACTAATGACACCAATAACACATTCACTAATGATCAACTAATGACTGTCATTGTTAAAAAAGTATTTTTTTACTACTCCAGTATTCGTAGATGCGGTACACGCAAAATATTTAAATATAATTTGTTAACACTAAAAAATCATACACACGTAAGAAAATAACAGAAAGAAAAGTAAGTTTGTCAATAGAATAAACACTTAAAATTGCAATTAACAATTTAATTGGTGCCGGCGGGGATCGAACCCGGGTCGCGTACTGTGAAATTTACAGCTTGCGCTAACCATCTGAGCTACCACGGCTTAATCATATACACACACAATATTTAAATATAATTTGTTAACACTAAATCATACACACGTAAGAAAATAACAGAAAGAAAAGTAAGTTTGTCAATAGATTAAACACTTACATCCATGGCCTTTGATGCGTTGAAGTAACACAAATGTAGTATTGATAGACCCACTGCGGTCAAACGACCATACACTAACTTCGTGACTGCAGTTGCTTGGTCTTATATAGTACCAGTAAGTAATAATTCTAATCTAAAGAATTTCTACAGTGGAATTGATAGTAACTTTATGCGTCAACAAGCTTATCTCACATTCTGTTGCTTATCTCAGCATTACTTCGTGTCGTCTTGTTCAGTGTATTGATGACTCAAATACGTTTTGTATAACACAAAATAATGCAATTTAATATTTAGAAATCACTATAATTGATCATTCCTATGTATCCATGATATTACTAATAGCAGTAATATCATGGACACACTAGATGTACAACAACATCTGAAAAAGATTCACCCCAGTCTAAGAAAATAATGTTTATGCTGCTAATAGACTGCCCATGTACACCCACGTACTAACGTGTATACCTAGTCAGGTCATAAGTATTGTCACACAGTAAAAACTTTTCTTTTAAATGCTGGCCACAAAAAAGTTTATTGAATTCGAATTGTTCATGAAAATAAAACTGTATACTTTTTAGAATTTTACTCAATTTAAATATGGAGTGGACGCTTAAAGAAGAGTTGCAGTTATTGCGTTGCATCGTTGCGGTTACGCGCCAATTCAAATTTTTGACATACTGAAAAATTTGAATATAACCAAAAGATTCGTTTATCGTAACATCAAACGATACAATGAAGACTTTAGTGTAGATGACAGGTCAAGAAGTGGTCGCCCTCAGTCTGTTAGGACTCCAGCAGTAATAAAAGCTGTGAAGGCGCACAATTCAAGGAAATCCCAAACGTAAGCAGAAACTGTTGGCCCTTCAGATGGGGCCACGGCCACGGGCAGAACCACGGTGAAAAGGGTGTTAAATGAAGACTTAGGGCTTCGGGCATATCGAAGAAAAACAGGACATCGTTTGAATGCTCGTCTAATGGACCTGAGACTGAAGCGATGCCGCGCTTTGTTGAAGCGGTACGCGGAAAAAAATATCGGGAAATTCTTTTTTCGGATGAAAAATTTTTTACCGTAGAAGAGAGCTACAACAAACAAAATGATACGGTGTACGCACACAGTAATAAAGAAGCGAGCAACCGTATTCCGCGTGTCCAACGAGGTCATTTTCCATCCTCGCTCATGGTCTGGTTGGGAGTTTCTTATTGGGGCTTAACAGAGGTAGATTTTTGTGAGAAAGGTGTAAAAACGAATGCAGTTGTGTATCAAAATACAGTCCTGACGAACCTTGTGTAACCTGTTTCTCATACCATGTTCAATAACAGGCACTGGGTATCCAACAAGATTCGGCGTCAGCTCATAGAGCGAAGAGCACACAAGACTGGCTGGCGGCGCGTAAAATCCACTTCATCCGGCACGAAGACTGCCCCTCCTCCAGTCCAGATTTGAATCCGTTAGATTACAAGATATGGCAACACTTGGAGGAAAAGGCGTGCTCAAAGCCTCATCCCAATTTGGAGTCACTCAAGACATCCTTGATTAAGGCAGCCACCGATATTGACATGGACCTCGTTAGTGCTGCGATAGACGACTGGCCGCGCAGATTGAAGGCCTGTATTCAAAATTACGGAGGTCATTTTGTTGCGTACAGATGACAAACCAGGGTAACATTGGGTAGCTTTATATATCGATACGAATGACGTCGGTCAATATTTTGATTCATTCGGACGAGCACCTATACGATATCATCTAGAGTTTTTAAAAAAAATTGTAAAAGATGGAACTGGAATGTTGATAGGTTCAGAATGAGTGGACTTCAGTTTATGGCGAATATTGCCTAATGCATTTGCTATATAAGTTTCAGGGATGTTCAATGCATAGTTTTACGAGTATATTTACAGGGAACACATTGTACAACGATATTTTAGTGGATGAGATGTTTCGCTCCTATTTTATAGATAATAAGTAATAAGATTTTGTATTTTGTAAATAAAAATTTTAACAGAATTAGGTAATGTGTTTTATTGATGAGTCAGATTAGTGTAGATAGGAACAAAGGAGTATAATACAATAACACCACGCTGAGGAAGAATAGATAATGACGGTATTCAATGAACAATAGATAAATAGATAAGAACAATGGAGCGCTAATGACGGTGGAGGCCTTCACCGGATATCAATTAGATAAGAGTTAATTGATCTGCACATCTCCGGAACCGTGCATCCTACGCAAAAATGGACCGCAGATTCGTGATCGAAGCATGCCAAAACCTTTCTTTTTTAGGATCGTGAGTCGACGAACGTTGTACTTGTACCACTTCCGACTCAGTGAGGCAGAACTGGTACAACGTAACTACTATTTACCACTAGCTTCAGGATATTCCATATTGGTGGCGGGCTTGACAATTCATATTTTTTGGCACATCGTTCGTTCGACCAAGTCGCCACGACATAGTTCGACGAATAGAATGGCGGTCAACCTTATTTTGTACTAGGATCGGTGTCGCCGGGAGCACACATACAAGCAAAATTACGTCGTATTATTACTACTACAAACCCGATTCGTTGTATTGACAGACTGAGCGAATTTTCGCATTTTAGACTTTTGAATGTTTTTGATACATCAATATTTCTTTATTTTTGTTTCTAATATTTAAAAAATATAAATAGTTTCGACTTACTGGTTTTAGGACATGTCACCTTTATAATTCTATTTCTCGCTGTTCTTTCGACACGTACTTAATTGTATGTATTTATAGTATTCTATGGTCTGAACAGTGGCGTAGCCAAAGTTATTATATAAAACATTAGTGAAAATCGTTTGCGTTTAGTATGACTTGTTGCCACAAGGTGCCTCAAGACTCAAAAAGGCTCCCCCTCCACTCCCACCTCATATTCGTAGCTGTCTTTAACCATACAAATTCGGTAAGACTTGTTAGATTTTAGCTTCGCTAGCTAACATTGACTGCATCGTTGGTCTAGAAGTCGTAAGCGTGACTGCTAATCATGAGGTCATGATTTAGAATCCTGGGACGAGCCATAATGTTATTAGGTTTTTGTTCAAGAAATTCTTAGCAACACGGAATTAGGAAATTATCGCTGTTTCACCTCAAAATGAACATAAAACCGTTAAGTACTGGGCCTGATCTCTCTCCAGTATTGTCCGATTTCCATCCTATTGGATATTGAAAGTGAGGGAAGAGTATTCCGCAAACACTCATGCTCTGTAATTCCGTTCTGCCGCAGATAGCTAGTGATTGTCCGCCGTGCCCAAAATTTGGTTTGAAGGATATGATATACCTAGTAAAAAAGCATTAGAATACTGCGACGATAGAAGCTAATACCTGGGTCGAATATGGCTAGCCGAAAAATATGGCCACTCACCACTAAATAGAAAACCGCACGACAAACGGAGTCGGCTATGTTCGGGAAAGTTCGGTTCCGTGGTTCATGTCTAGACGCGCACCCGCTGCGCCTCCCGCGCGAACGCCAGTAGCGAAAAAGACGAAATAACGGACGCTTGTGTTGCTGCTTTAATTTTTTTTGCGAGTTTTGAACATATTTCAGTGTTTTATTAGTTTAACTAAGTTTATATCGTCTTATCACGCATTTTAGTAAAGGAGTTTAACATCCAGGTAAGATCTTATTGAATTATTTTACGCGTTTTTTACAAGCATGGGATTGAAAGAAACAGTGGCGTGGCTGGCCAGTCAGTGGCCATATTTCCGATATAGATTTTGATGCACTGATAATTAAGTACTTAGGAAGGTAATTATCCGCTTATTTTTGCTTCAGGTGATGGGGCAATACAAATGCAAAGGCATTCGCGGTAATTGGGTGGAAGATGATATGAAGTTCGCTATGTCTGCTGTAAAGAGAGGGGTTATGAGAGTGAACATAGCTGCAAAGAGGTTTAATGTACCAAGGCGGACTCTGAGACGATATTTGGCAGAAAACAAAAACACTAAATCCACCTTGGGTAAAAAACCATTGTTAAATTCGGATCAAGAAAACGATTTGAAATCCCGCATTATCCGACTTTGCAGCGTTGGTTACCCACTAACACAGCGTGTATTACGTTCATGTGTTAAAACGTTCTGTAATGAACATAACATTTTATCCAAAAGTCAAGGAGTTATGATTAGACGAGATTGGTTGAGGGGATTTTTAAGACGGCACCCTAATATCAGTAAACGTAAAGCCCAAAATTTAAATCCCGCCAGAGCTCAAAAGCTTAATAAGGCAGTAGTGTCTGATTACTTTGCGAAATTAAAGGATTTAATGAAAAAATATGACTTAATGAAGAAACCAGAACGAATTTATAATATTGATGAAAAAGGTTGTCAATTAAATTTACACAAAACTCCACAAGTTCTAGCAGAACGCGGTACAAAGAGAGTACACATAGTGGCAGCTGAACATGGAGAATCAGTGACTGTAGTGTCTTGTGGTAATGAATTAGGGCACGCGATACCACCCATGATTTTATTCAAGGGAAAAGGATGAAAGAAGAATGGCTCGATTCGTTACCTACCGGTGCTGTAGCTCAGATGACTCCCAAAGGAAGCATGACCACCGACGCTTTTTGAAAAGTGATGTATCCAAATACATCACTTTTCAAAATTCAAATTACCAGGAAATGTGCTTCTTATATTCGATGGTACAAAGTGCCATTTGGATTACTCTATTGTGGAGACAGCTGAAAAATATGAAATCAAGCTTTTCTGCTTGCCCAGTAATACGACCCACGAGCTTCAGCCTATGGATAAAAGCGTATTTAGGTCGTTTGAATATTACTGGGATGAGGAAATACTTAGATACTGGTCTCTGCATGAAGACAGAAAAATCACCAAACAAAGATTTGGAGTCATATTTAGTAAAGTGTGGGATAAAGCTGCAACACCAGCAAACATCAAAGCTGGATTTGAGGCTACAGGGATCTACCCATTCAATCCAGATCGGATCCCAGAGGAAGCATATGCTCCAAGTATTCCTACTTATAACCCCATGCCAATTGTTGATAATAAGGACACTGACACTGATGTTAGTGAAAGTCTCCTTCATGAGGCTGCTTCAAATATAAGTGCAATTAATACACCAGTTCAGCAATTGACTTTAAGCGATAATAACTTTAATTCTCTTTCCGTGTCTACAGAGCAGATTGGAAATTCTGCCACTACCCCGAGTCAAAATATTACCGTTTGTAATGAACCGAAATAATCTTTCTATGATTTGTTGAAAACTCCTGAAAAAAGTGCAAAACGTCTCGAAATGGCTCCTAGAAAAAAAAACGATCAATAATTTAGCTCAAGAACTTAAAAATCAATTTTCCCTTAAAAGAAAAATATTTTAGGACCATCAAACAGTATTACAAACCGTTCAGAAAAAAGGAAGGAATTAACGCAAAAACACAAAAAAAGCAAGTTGACAAACAGCATAAGTCAAAAAAATGTACTGAATCATGGTACTGTTTCGTTTGTGGAGAAGACAGGGTAGCAGATATGAGACCGTGTTTTATCTGTGAAACTTACGTCCATGAAGAATGCGTAGGACTAACTGCAGTAGACAAAAACCAGTTTATGTGCATTAAGTGTAATAACGATTGAATTAAAAAATGTGTATGCCTTTTGTTCCATTAATATTCTTTTTATGCTGATTATGACTTACTGAAATTAATCTTGAATCTCAAAATGTGCCATAAGTCATTCTTTTTATTGTTGATTGTGTCTAAAACTCTTTATTTGATCTAAAAGCATTGCTATATAATGTAACATAATTGACGTTTTTTCTTTATAATTATGTTTTGCCAGTTACTTCTATTTAAGACTGAAATATTATTATAGAATTCAGAATATGCCACTTACTATTACTTTAATAATAATCCTACTTATTGTTAGTATTGTTAGCTGTAATGTTACTTAATTGTTAAATTTGTTTTAGTCTTTTTCCTTTTGGTTCACCTGCAATATTTAAACAAGTAGATATTATTATTAATTAATTATAAATAATTATGGATCTCAATATATTCCAAAAAATTACGTACTTTTAAAGTTGTTTGAGTTATATTGTTAATTGTGCATTCATTTAATATCAACGTTTTTATTTGATTTACTTAATGCGCAGCTTCTTTTTCTTGTAAGTTTGATTGTTTTTTGTTATATTATTATGTCATTTCTTACCGTAAGTGACATTCTAGTCTTGAACTCAGAATGTGCCATTACCATTATTATGAATAAAAAAAATGAATAAAAATATTTTTTTCATTGTTTCCTTATCAAAAAATGCAAATATAGAGATAGTGTTTCAGTTAAACCTATAAGTTTAACTGACACACTATGCCTATATTATATAGTAAGTATGGCCATTTTTATACAAAGTACAAAAATGGCCATATTCGACCGCTAAAATAGCAATAGTGAAAATATGGCCATGTTAATGTCCATATTAACCTACACCGGCGAAAATATGGCCATTTACCGTTTTTTTTTTAAGGGAACATAACTTTTAATTTTTAATACATTTGCCAGATTTTTGCTTACGACATGAAAACTAGATATATAATTATTAATATAATGTGCAAAAGATTGTTTAAAAACCTTAGAAAATATGAAAAACTGTGTATCAAACCTTAAGGTGGCCATATTCGACCCAGGTACCTATTAAAAAAAACTATAAAAATTAAAAAAGAGAATATTAACAATGCTATAAACATTACTAATATTCTCCTTAACCACTCGTGGTAAGCTTAAACTGCTTGTGTTACGAGTGGTTCACGCCAGTAGTCGAATGGCGGATTCAAACCCACGACCTGTTTGAGTTCGCGATCCGCGCCCTGCCATTAGGCTACTGTCGCTTCAAATATAAAAAATTGCAATTTAAACAGCGAAATGTCTCTGCGGTGTAGGTAAACTGCGTAAACATCAAAACCGTTCGTTTGTCCAGCATAAGTCACGTACACGCGCATTGTGTTATCATTAGTTTAACTCACAAAAATACTAGTAGCAGATAACGGTACATTATTGAAATGCTTATTATAAGTATTTACGGAGATAACTGTATCTACCAAGTATCTGCAGATCCGTAATTTATCTCGATCTGAAACTACGTTTCGTTTATAATCACTGCACTGATTCTACCATTGGTTGACCTTTTATAATATTCATTTAACGAATATTACTTTGGCGAATACGAATACCTGATTCCACATTCGCTGCTTTAAATATAAGTATACCGAATAAGGTTAATGTAAATAAAAATTGCTAAGTCATATAAATATTTCCGAGTAATTTTAAAATCAAAATTAACTAGGTACAAGTAATTTTTGATGAGTAAAATCTTTCGTCACGCTTTCCTGCAATCTGTGGGAGTGAGTAGCAGGAAGCCGGGGAAGCGCGCGCTATTTCATTTGACCAATGAGCGACCGCGGTGCTAGTTGGCCGTCAGAGAGTACCAACACAATTTCCGAGGTTAGTACTGTCAGTCAACAGTATGTTTGACGAGAAAAAGAAAGAGAAATAGAGGAGAACGCATCAGCTGGGCGCTTAACCTCGTGTTGTGTATAATGTTCAAAATTCAAAAATGTTTATTCTGTAACAATAAATTTACAATCATAGCAGTATATTAGAGTTCTCCTTTTAAGTATTTTTAAATACTTGTGACAGGAAAAACTCGCTCTTCCTTAATTAACATACAATACTTTAGTTACAAGAATACACAGATTACCTCCTAATAGATTCCGCATACAGGGCCACAAACGCGCGCAACACATACTTGCTGTAGCTAGCATATGAAGTGACCCTAAGAATCACGATATCATTGTTGACCAAGTTTGTGACCCGTAGGCACGTAAAAATAATTTTGGTATCCAAAATACATTACAAATGGCTTCCTATGCAGTGAAATGGTGTGGCAAGTCAGCTAAGACATCCAGTTATCAAAAAGATGGCATAATATTTCATCGGTAAGTAAATTTTATTCTTATCACGTTAACCTATTTCAAATGGACCGGAGATCAACTTACACTGGATATTAAATGTTGCAAAGTGATATCATTTGAGCATCCGTTGATGTCTTTTTTAATATGTCCCTTTCACTCATTACGTAAATTAAAATAGTTGCCTTTGTCTAACTACAGCACGTGTATCGATAGTGTTGTGATTTATAAGTCGATATTTGTTTGGTCATCGTTTACTTTTCTTTTGTAGTCATTATTTTATACAAATAGTGGCGTATAATTGTGGTCCTATATGTTATAGGTTTCCTAAATGCCCCGAAAGGAAAAGATGTGGATCGACGCTACATGTCGAGGGGATCAATGGTTGCCCAACAAAAATAGTGTGCTATGCTCAAGACACTTCACAGAAGACAATCTTCATATTATGAAACACCGTATAAGGCTGTTGGATTCCGCTATACTATCTCTATACTTGCCAGTTTTAGTATGGAATTTTACATTTTTTTAAAGTATAATACCAATGGTGAAAATTACACAATAAGTAATAGCATTAAGTGGTTGATTGAAACGTGATATTCTAATATTTAATGAATTTACAGTTACTGTGAATTGAATCGAAGTCGAAATTAAACTATTTTTAACGGATTTATAAACCATAAAACAAGTGAAAGTTATAATGTGATTAATGTTATTCTAGTGTTGCATGAACTTCAGTAATATCCTATTATTATTATTATTAAGTACATCTAAATTTGAAACAAGTACCGTATGGTTTTTTAATTAATAATACTACTTTTAGGTGCAACACTAAGCAAAAATACTGTCACCGCCGAAAGGACATATCAGAACACACACAAAGGATTCACACCATTTTGTTAGTGAGATAAAAGACATACATCTCGCTGACAATGAAACTATGGTCATTTTTGGTGGTCAGTCACTATTCAGATGCCTACTTATTGAAGACTGCTTCTCAATTGTAACTAGGAAGCTACAAGATAACAACATGCTTGCAGAATATGCAGTATTACTCAAACACTGCTTCACATCTGACTATCTATTGTAGAAGGAAGAGTTCTACAAGCAAGTTGATGGTGTAGCGATGGGCTTACCTGTATTTCCTATAGTCGCCGACATATATCATGGAGGACTTTAAGGAGAAACCCTTCTTACTGCTCCTATAAATCCAAGATTCTACAAGCGGTACGTAGACGACACTTTCAAAATTTTACCGTCTGACAAAGCAACTGCAGTTTTAGACCACCTTAACTCCATAAGCTACAAAATACAAATCACGAAAGAGTTAGAAGCAAATAATACTTTAGCTTTCCTAGATGTTTTAGTCATCCGAAATCCTGATAACACTATTGGTCATACTATGTATAGGAAAAAGGCCTATACCAACCGATATTTAAATGGTGAATCTTACCATCATTCTTCATAGTTTGCTACTGTGGGTAAATATTTGTTTACAGAGAGCACAAGGGATCTGTGACAGAATACATCTGGCTGCCGAGCTTCAGCATGTCAATCAATTATTGCAAGACAAAAAGAAAAAAAAATTAAGAACTAAAAAATTAAGAATATATATATATATATATATATATATATATATATATATATATATATATATATATATATTATTTATATACACTGTTTTATTTTTTAATAAATTTCGAATAAAAGTTGATCAATTCAATTATTTATCAATAATCAATAAATCCCAAATTTATCGATCAACGTCCCAACCCTGTCCTATCACTATGGTTCGGAGCATTCTAAGTTCAACTTTGAATTATCCAATCACAGCACATTTGACACGTCCCCCGCAACCCGAAATTCGGTGAAATCGAAACAGAACAAATATACCATGATGCGGTATCTATTAGGAGGTAATCTGTGCAAAAATAGCATAATATTCCTTTCCTAAAATAATTATGAAAAAATCTGAAGATGTGTGCGTGCGCGAGCGCATGTGTATGTGTGTGTGTGTGTGTGCCTGCATATGTGTGCGTGCGTGTTTTGTAAGCCGTGTTATTTTAACAAATTTTCTATTTCGTGGTAGTCTTTCCATTTGAGCCATTCAATGAGAATTACCTTACATTCTTTACTTGTTTTAGAATAAATATTCAATTCTTTATTTAAGTAGTTATATAAATAAGAGGACATTTTTGCCTGTTGCCGTCTAGCAAATGCTGTTTTTACCGGATCACTTGGAACTACGTTAGTTTTCCTCCTTTTATTTTCAGAGTTATATGCAAGGGAC